GGCAATAGTAGGTTCTCCATCACATGGTTCTAATAGTTAGAAGTAGGTGAGGAAGCAAAAGGAGTAGATTTTCTCCAGGGTCTGCCCTTGCTTCTTTCCTAGCGCCCCAGCAGAGAGCTTACTGTGCTTCTCTTGTGGCATCGCCCAGTCCAACAACTGCAAACAACACAACTGGGAAATTAGCCATGGCAGTCAGCTTATCGCCTCGCCAGGGAGCACTGTGTCAGACAGGATGAAGACAAGTAAACAGAAAATGTGCTTGGAATTTCAAACAGAGGAAATTTACTTCAGAGAACTGGTTAGAAACCTGTCAGCTTAAAGGAGCAAAAGGGTAAAGTGGGCAAACTGGAAATTAGTAGCTGTAGGATCCTTCTACCACCCGTAGGCCTGGATCAAATGCAACGGTGTTACTGGACCCAGAATGGCATTTGCTGCTGACATTGCCAGAGGATTGTTTTTGAAATGTTGCTGCCGACAGAATTTCCAGAGGTCACTGGAGCCTACAGCTACTCACTGCTGCCCCTCCAGTACCACTGATACTGTTGGAGCCCATGGCAGTAGCCTATCACCACAGGAAACACTGAAGGTCTCTGAGCCCATAACCACCAGCTGCTTGCTGCTGCCAGTCTCAGGTAGATGCAGAGAGAACAATGGCTTCGCCTCTCCTCCTGCCATCTCATCTCCAGCCACACAATTTCCCACCTGTACTCTCCATTGGCTGAATCTGACAGGAAGCCAGCAGGCAAGGGGAGTCTGGGAAATGTAGTTTTCAGGGCCCAGCAATCTTCAGCTCAAAGCAGAGCATGGAAAGGCTAGAATGGAGCTCAGAGCAAACAGGCCATCACAAATGAAACTTTCAACTAGTTTTGTCACCTTAAAGGCTATAGGTATTGGACATTAGTTGATTACCTCTTCTTTCCATTTCCCCCTTTCCAATAGCCCCCTGCGTTCCTTTCCAGGATCCATATATTTCCAGGAAGCCAACTCTTTCAGGGTAGAACAGGGCTGAGCCAGTCAATCCCACTGGCCAATCAAGTGAATCTTAGGGTTTTGCTGAAAAGGCTGACACACACACTCTTTTCCTCGCTAATCGTGAATGAAGAAGTATGCAGCCCCTGGGATCTCTGATGGCAGTCATCTTGGGACAATGAGGGGAGCTGAAACCCTCCAGGAAGAAAGAGTAGCCCTAAAGACTAGGAGATTAATTTGGGGGTACATATGGAACCCACATGCCATAGGCACTGTTTTGGAAGACCTGGCATAGTTGATCAGGCCCATGCCCCTTAGGGTGCCTATTATCTGCTCACAAAGCAAGACCAGTTTTCAAGCATGATGGAAAATTCTGGAAGAGAAAGAAAGTTTTAGGAATCAGCTACTTTCCCATGGTCACATCCTGGACCAATGGCTTTTAAATATTTTTTACTGTACCCTCAATAAGAAATATATTTTACAGTGTAACCAGTACACATGTAGCTGTGTGTATAAAAAAGTTTCACAATAGTTTTCTCAGTATTTACCCTTGCTATATGCAATTAATGCAAATTTTCAGTTGTATTCTATGCCATTTCTGAAATAAAACTGGTTGCAAACTTCTAAATGATTTCATGATCTACTAATGGATTATGACTTGCAATTTGAGAAACACTACCCTATATATACCATGCCATCATCGATTGCTATAAAACTTAACTCTTGATTTTAAGCATCCTAACCTTTACTATTTTTTTTTTTTTGCTTCTGTATAAATCATATTCTCTGTCTTCTCTTGTTCTGAAGGAAAGTCACAGTGTCCCATCTCCTGTCAAAGGCCAACCTTTTCTCAGCCTGTGCTGAAGACCCCAAGAACTTACATCTGCAGATATTCTCTCTGTTTTGCATTGTCAAATTCTACTTGTCTACTGGAATATTTAGTTTGCAAAATTGCTCTAGAGTCGCTCTCCTTAAAACCAAAACCAACCAAACAAAAATCTCCTTTTGACCTCGTTTCAACTCTTGCTTTCTTCAATCAAACCAGAGTAGACATGGTTGAATGAGACAGAAAGCAGAAGGGTGGCTTGGAGGGGAACTCAGTAGAAAGGACGAGGACCTTAGCAAGAAGGCAAGTAATGGGTGTTGAAGGGAGAAGAAGGCATTGAGATTTATGTGAGTGAAAGAAATTAGAAGTGAATTTCAACCCCAGAACTACTTTCCTTAACTCTCCTTTTGAGAATCCTGCTCCCTGGATCCCAAATCTTTGTTGCTGGAGCCTGGACTTTGGAGTCAGGTAAGTTCAAGTTCAACACTGGCTTTGAGCTGGCTAACTTTGGATAAATCACATCTCTTCTATAAGTTTTCTCATCCATAAAATTAGTCTAATAAAACCTATCTCATTGAGTGGGCCTAAGGATTAAATGAGATCAACACATGTTAGCAATTATTATCATCAAGGCCTTGCCCATGCTTATGCAAAACCTTACTCCCTCACTAGTAATAATTACCATGGTGACCACTCGTGGAGCAAGTCCTCTGTGCCAGGCAGTGTGCTAAGGGCCTTACAAATTGTTTCCAAGCCAAGAAGGGTTCCCTGGCACCTTCTCACTGCAGAGTTTCTCTCTCTGATAACTTAATTAATATTTCTAAAGTAAATGCAAAGCACCAGGGAATAAAATGGCTTACTTGCATTCATTCATTCTATAAATGTTAATTAAGCACCTACTACGGTGCCAGAAACTTACTAGATAACTGGGGATACCAAGATGAACAAGGTCCTGAACATTGAAGGACTTACAATCTAGTCACACAATAAGTACTAGGTAATGAAGGTATGTAGGTGAGACGTTCTTTCCTTGTGGCTTCCTTGGTCTAGGCAACACTATCTTTGACTCCAGAACCCACAACTGACAGTGTTTCTGATTCTGTTCTTCTGGCTAGACCTTGGACCCCTACCTTCAGGACATGCTTTTTAGTTCTCAGCTTCCCATGTGGCCACCAGGATGAAGAGAACATGTTTGTGTTCTCTATCTCTCCCTGCCTGGTATCCCCCTCCAGAGAAAAGAAAGTTATCAGGTGTCTAAAAGACAGGTAATTGCTGGTCTGGCTTTTATGCCATGACACCTTTAACATTCCTGTCTCAATTCACTCATTGTCTCCAAATTGCCGAATCCAACAGACTGTTTGTCCCTTTACAGATATTTTGTCTCTTTCTCTCATTTTGGCATCACATACCATTTCCTGTTCTTTATATCTTTTCACATCTATAGTTAAGTAGACTGTTCAGCTCATGCCACTATGAAGTAGAGTTGGGACTTGAACCCAGTTCAGGCTGACTCCAAAGCACACACTATAATCAATGCTCTGTGCTACCCTCCCAAGATCTAGACCAATTGTCTAGATCTGTGCTGTCCAACACGTAGTCATTAATTACATATAGCTATTTAAATTTAAATTTAAATAAAATAAAAATTTCAGTTTCTCAGTAGCAGTTTACAAGTTGCTAAATAGCCACATGTGGCTGGTGGCTACTATACTGAACAGCACAGATCTAAAACATTTCCACCACTGTAGAAGTTCTACTGAATAGCATTGGTGCAGGTAAGTGTAGGATAGCATTGGGTTAGACAGTGTTCTGTCTTCTGACCTCTTCTTTTTATCCTCTTTTCCATTATTTATTCTCAGAGAGTGGGCAGCCATTGTTTGGTCTGCCCAACTCTCCAGTCCCACTTTTCTGGAAACTGTTATTCTACCCTGCACCTTGCTATTACATACCTTTGTTCCGTGTTACAGTGGATATGGCCATGTTTATACATTACCCTGTGGCTCCACCCTCGCCCACAACAAAGTTGATTGGTTCAGGGGTGGACACTTGGCCAAATCTAGCCCAAGCAGCAGCTCTTTTCCCCAGGAATTCAAAATTGAACCTAAAAGTCAAGTCACCTGGCTGATCTCTTGACTGGAGGTGACCTGGGATCCATGGGTGACCATGTTTTCTTTTATTTGGATTGGGAAAACTGGTCTTCAGAGAGATAAAAAATGACAAAACAGTTACACCTATTTGAGACAGTTAGATCTAGGAACTCAGAGGATATCAGGGCTCTGTATCCCTCTGTCTGTGTGTGTTCTGCCTTTCTCTGTGATGCCTTCATGCTCAGGCAGGCTCTCTCCATGAAGCAGAAGTGATAGCCACTGACATATCTTTACTACTCAAGATCTCCAGAAGAAAAGTCATCTCTCCTATATTTCACATCTTTAGGAAGGCTTTGCTTATCTTAGTTTGAGTCATGTGCCTATCTGTTCAGAAACTGTGACCCGAAGAAGGGATTAAGAGCTAAAGCTTTATGTGGGATGCACAGTCCTAGAGCAGTGAGAGTGAGAATGGGGAAATAGGAAAAGATGGGAAACAATACAAGCAAATGTTTGCTGGTTACTTCTTCACAAGACACAGCTAGTCTTCTGACAGGCACACCCACCTGGCAATGCAGAATGTCTCTAGACAGGTTACACAGAGAAATTATACCTTAAAACAGTCCATCAGAGGAAGGGAGAGTAGGTTGTTGTATCCTGCTCCTTTCTCCCATTGGTCAGTTTGCCCTATGGGTAGTTAACTCTCCTGTATTTCCAAGTTGCTTTGCTGGCCCCTTTAGGAGCTGCTCAGAAAGCCAGGTCTCATGCTCTGTGGGGTGCTGTGTCATCAGGGTCTGGAAGGTGCAAGAGAAGCCATAGAATCCATGTTTGCAACTAGTTGGCCTCAGGCAGCAGGACTGTGAGGCCTCACTCAAGAGTTGGTTAGCTATGTCTGCAGTTGAGGCAAACCACGTAGCTTGTGGTCTGGGAGCCAAATGGCACTGAGAGACTCTAAGGAGCCACAGGGCCAAGATGTGGGGATCATTATGACTCGTCAGCCTGGGTCATATGCTTACCCCATGGCTGAGGCAGTATAGAAGTGATACTGTGATAGAAGCTATCTCATCCTCCCTCCCCTTGTGTCAGTTCAGATCGTCAGAAAATCAGACACTAAGACAGGATTAAATGTGAAAAATTTATTATGGAAAACATCCATGAGAGAAAATGTGCAGGAGCCAGGGAAGACTCAGAGATAACCATCAGACAGTGATATAGCTCTGACCCTAAGTAAAGGAGAAAGAGAAGGAAGGAGTTCAAGGTGGAAGTGCTTTAGACTGCAGTGTGGCTCTAAGAAAAGTTTGGTAAGGTCTTTGAGGAGTCCTTGAGCCAAAGTCATCCACCAGAGGAGGAAAAAAGCCTATCCTAAAACTCCTGCTGTGCTTAGTCACTGGCCAGGAGTAGTCTGTGGGAAGTGAGGCCTAGGAGTTAAGGGTGATGGATTTCAAAGCTTAGCGTGGATTTCAGAACTGAACAGCTGGGCTGTTGGTGAATTATACTTCCCCCAGTTAGAGACATGAGAAATGCATTCTCGTGGCCGCATACCCTCCTGGCCCAGCACGACATACAAATGAAGGATGATTCTACAATCTAAAAAAAAAAAAGAAAAGAAAAATAGAATGGCATTATCAGTTGAAAGAGCAAGGGTGTTGAGCAGGCAAGACAACAAATGTCCATCCCATAGCTTATAATGTCCTGCTTGTAAGTCAAACTCTATATGTCCAAATCTGAATTCATGACTTTCTATATGCTCTGGAGAAGTCTTCATCTTGAACTACTATCCTCCAGGTGCGAAACCTGTGAGTCACATTAAACACTTCTTTATCCCCATCCCAACAGTAGCCAATCAATAGTCAAGTCCTTTCAAACCCACTTTGTCAATATCACTTCATATTCGTATCCTCTTCCCTTCATTCTCATTGCTACTGATATGTTCAGGCCTTCATTCCATCTTGCCTGAACTATTGTGGAAGTCTCCAACTGGTCATTTAGCAACTCTTTTCCATCCTACTTTCTCTGCCAGATTGTCTTTAAACACAGTTTTGCCCACATCACCCCCCTTTGTAAAAACTACCATTGAGAATGTATGGGACAATCAGAAAATTCTGGAGATGGATTGTGGTGATGGTTGCACAATGAGAATGTACTTAATGTCACTGAACTATACACTTAAAAATGATTAAAATGGTAAAACAACTCTCCATAGTAGAAAAATAAAGCCCAAGAGCCTTAACCAGACCTTAATATATCTTTCTAAACTATTGTTCTTCCTATTCTTACTCTGTATTTCCTCAATTAATCCCTGGCTTCCTTTATTTGCTCTAGTTGCCGTCTACACAGAGCATGCTCTTCCCCTAATTCTACCTATTTTTCAAGACCCAGTTCAAATGTCACATCCTTGCAAAGCTTTCCTGAACTCCTCCCATATTTCATACTAAGTGGAAGTAATCCTTCCCTTTTTTGAACTCCCACAGCACAGTGAATCATCTCTTTAGCACTTAGTGCTTTTCTTTTAGATCAAAGAAGGGACACAATGAGATAGAGTGTAGCTCAAGGTCATCCAATTGGCCCTCTTGACAGGTCCCTCTACAGTGCCATAACCTTAAGGAATTTACCATCATCCCAGAACTGGTGTTCTGCCTTGCAAACTCAGAAGCCTGATTTTAATAGCAAAGAGTAGAACCATCTCTCAGCAGGGTTCTCGTATTCACTAAGCTCACAGAAACTGATAGTTACATAAACCAGAATCCAACAGACTAAATGAAAAATGTAGGTATCAAAAGAGCTGGAATTCAGTAGGTGGCAGATCACTAAATTGTCCCTATAGGAAAGGCATTTGCTGAGTGGGCAAAATCACACCAGAAAAAACACATTGGAGCATTTCTTAGCTGAGGCAGCCTGAAATAGTTCTTAGCCATTACAGGGATGACATGGACAAGGAAATCCAAATGCTCAGGTCAGCTTGACTGAGACAGGGCTTAGAGGTGTAATGCTAGTGCTTGACTCTCTGCCTTGTTTTGGGCTGTCATGGCTAATTAAGTCCTTTGGTTCACAGATTCCCTCTGCAAACAGGATATAGCATGATTGGTTAAGATTGATTAAGCTTCCTTTTATTAAATTACAATCACATTTGCCTTCTTGAGATTCCTCCCATATGACCTGGATCACAGTGTGCTTTTTTGATGCTGTTTGTAGACAAGCTCTTGGCTTACCTCCACAGGTAGCTAATTCCAGGGCTGCATTAGTCAGTTTAGGCTAGCTAGGTTATGCTGCAGTAGCAAACAACTAAAACAATCTTTGTGGCTTACAATAACAAAGGTTTATTTCTTACTCACTTTACATATTACATGTGTCAGCTGTGGCTATGCACATCTTCACTCTGGGACCAAAGCTGAAACACCTCTATTTGGGATATGCTGCTCTCACGATGAGGAAAAAAAATATGGCAGAATCATGAGATAGCCTATGTATTTCTGCTCACAAGTGGTTCATGCCATTTCTATTCACATTTCATTGATTAAAACAAGACCAAGGTTGATGACATTAGAGTAAGAAGTATAATCTCCTAGGGACAGGCCAGATATTATAATATAATGTATTATAATAACTATTATCAGTTAGTCTACCAAAATAGTGAAATACTTTCATACTAGCTGGTAAATTAGCTGCTGTCCCAAACCTCCTGACAACTCCCATCCCCTGGGATTCTCTCGGACCTACTATTCACAAACTAGCAACTGAGGGGTTAACACCTAGCACACCTAGCACGCCTAGCACAGGATAGCTCCAGGACTTCAAATCTGTTAGATTGATGCTTGAGAACTACCTGTTGTTAAATATGTTGGCTAATATCCTCTACTATGTAAATTTTTATTAGTTTAATTCTGAGGGCAACCTGATTTCAGGCTCTTGGAAAGAAACCAAATACAGCCCCTATGTGCTGTCAATAAATACTTTTAATAATAATACTAATTTGTGCTGCTTTCTACACATTTTGACATCTTTTGCAAATACAGTATATGGAATAAATGCTCAGTAAATATTTGTAGACTTACCTAGTTTTTTCACATATTTGTAGACTTACCTAGTTTTTTCACATTTTTTCACAAGTTCAACTTATCTATCTCAACATACTATTTTGAGTTTCCATTTTTAATTTCTTATGCCATTTCTCATGTCTGAAAATGTCTTATCACTAACCTCTTTATAACATATTTGCAATTTACAAAGCACTCCCCCTTACACTCCCAGGAGGTAGGGATTAGGTCATTTTACAGATGATGAAATTGAGACTCAGTGAAATCAGGTCTTATAGCCAGTTAGGTTTCATTCATTCATTCATCAAATATTTATTGAGTGCCTAAATTTAGATTTTTTAAGGTTGGATTTGAGAACAATTTTCCTGAATTCAAGTCAAGAGTTTTATTCCACTATTCTCAGCTACTTGATCATCAGGGTCATGAACTCCAAGGAAAGAATAAGTCTGTTGATTTTATTACTGAGGACCACTAAGACACACAAGTATCAGAAAGGCTCCAAGGTCATTTGTAAAATTCAAGGTAACCACCAGCAGGAGCAATCTCATTTCTCTCTGTACTTGCTACCTAATGCCCTGTCTCACTGTAGATTCCATTCAATACATATTTGATGAGTGCATCTACAGGTTTCAGAGGTATTCAAATTGAGTTTTGACACTACCTGTGGAAACTTGATCAAGTTAGCCCTTTCGAGCTTGTTTTATCATTTGTAAAATAAAAACAATACTAATGTCCTAGAACTAAGCTGTTGTGGAGATTAAAGAGATAAAGTATGTAGTGCTCACTGTAGCTGTGGTTTCTAATTCTTTGATAAAGTTTCAAACTCTGCATTCATATGAGAAAAACAATGTCTATGTCGATGTAAGATTACAAGCTGACCATTCTTGGACGTGCTGTTCTTTATTCTGGAGTATATCGTTTTACAGTTTTGGTGTTAAATCCCCTCTTTTACGGTACTGGTACCTATTTTTTTCAACAACACACTTAATCTGGCCTCCCCATGTCGTCCTTCGTCCCTCAGCTCTTTCTTCCCAAATTAAAAATACACACATATTCCTGAGCCCCGTCTCGAAGAGGAAAGAAATGCACACACACAAACTCCTAAAAATTAAAAGTGTGCGCACCACAGCCCAAACCCAAAAGCATAGAACGCCCTAAGGAGGTCACCAGGCAACGCCTTCGGCTCCCGGAAAGAAGGGCGGAGTCAGAAAGCTCAGATATCTTTCCGCTTCACCATGTCGTCGTCCCTTCCCAATTCTCGCGAGACTTCAAGCAACTCAGCTTCTGCGCATTACAAGTCACTGCGAGTGGAGGCGCCAAGGGAGGGGGAGGAGAAGGGGGGACGGTGCAAACGGCGTGGCCGCCATCTTGTTTGTACCCCCGCTTCGCGCGCGCTGTTCTCCGTGACGCACGCTTCCCCTCCCCTCCGCGGTGCCCAGGCCTCTGCATTGCCCTACTCCGCAGGAGCGCTGGGCGGCTCCTGCTCTTCCTTGGACTCCTGAGCAGAGGTGTGTAAGTGTGCGGGAGCATCTGCGGGAGGGAAGGTGAGAGGTGAGCGGCGGCGGCGCGGGGGGGAGGGGCAGCGCTTCCCGCCTTTGGCGGAGACCTCACTTCCCTCGCGCGGCCGCTGCTGTAGTTCGGTCCGGCCTGTCCGCCGCCATGTTGTGTTCTCGCCGGGGTTGCCGCTGTCGCCGCCGCTGCGCTCGTGGGGTCCGTGCGCCTAGTCGGCCCGGCCCGCGGGCTTTCTCCCATTGGCGGAAGGCGACGGCGGGGGGGCTCGCTCGTGATTGGTCGGTGGCAGGGAGGCCGCGGACCTGGTACCTCATTGGTCGCGCTGGCTCCGGCCTAGGGAGTGATGAAGGAATCTGAGGCTGCAGGGATTCGCGGGTCTGGGGCTTGGGCTGCAGGTTGATGACCCCCCTACGGCGCAGGCGTAGGGCAGAGGCTGGGGGTCAGCCTAAAGGCCTTAAGGGAGGAGGGAGGGTGTTGTCTGGCAGGTACTTTGGGGTAGCCTGTGCAGGGCCTGAAGTAGGAGGCCCTCCTAATTCCAGAAGTAGCTTCCGTGGAACATGCAGGGCCCAGGTTGGGGGCGTGCAAGCCCCAAGGGTGCCAGGCTTGGAAACACTGAAACCCGAGTTACAGGCCGAGAGTATCTTCGAGATCCAGGGGTACTAAACTTATAGAGTGTTAACACAGTTTGCAAATGACCCTGATTTCCATGGATACCAAGTCTGAGCGCATGGTATAGGAGAAAAGGTATCAGGGCCCTAAGGACATATCTGAACGTTAGGATCATCAGGGAAAAGCTGAGGTTTAGGTGGAGCTCTGGAGTCCAAAGTTACCAAACTTGGAATGTGATGTGAGGAGGAAGTAAACAGACCCAGCCTGAGGGAGAGATCCTGTTGGGTAGGTGTGCCCGGTCTTAATAACAATGCCAAGCCTACAAGGCATAGCATTTAGTAGTGACAGGTCTATAGGAGTGAGAAAATACGAAGTATTTTTTGGGAACATTTTCAGACTTAGTAGTTATATAGTAAGAGAGCAATTATAGGTTATTAGGGCCCAGGACCATGCAGCTAATTTTGAGGTGTTCTCTTTCAAGCTTTCTTACTCTAGGGAGGATACAGGTCAGGGCCGAGTTTGCAAAGCTACACTTTCCAGCAAACATTAGACTTAGTAATTATTTGTTGAATGGATATCGTTAGGTTCCTCTTAAAGAGAGCTTGACAGGGATCCTGGATCTTGGCTTCTTTCTTTTTATATATGTGCCTAAAAAATACACTGACCCTCATATGCATTTTTAAAATTACATATGTATGTATAAAAAAGCCTGGAACAAAAACTAGTGCATAGCTTTTTGCATCTTGTCTGAAGTAAGGAGACTTGTCACCACTTTCTAGTTCATGTTTCAAAAAGCTTTTGTTGCCATTGAGAGTTGTTGGAGTCAGCTTCTTAGGGATGCATTCAGTTTCCATTGAATGGTAACTTGGTTTGTTTAATATTTGCATCTTACAAGATTTGCGATCAGGGAAACACATTTGTGTTGTTACTATGTTTTCCTAGTTTGTTTTTCCTTGTCTATGTTAGGTGTTTCAAGCTTTAGATAGATGTTGCACTTCTGTATTCGTACCAATTTCAAGAAATTCCTGTGGTTTTCAGATTCGGTCAGTTTTATGTGAATGTACCTAAAGTTTTGAGAGAGAAGTAGTACTTTCTTGTAGTAGAAGAAGGAGATTGACATTTTGGGGCATATTTAATACACATTCCTGTTAGATACAGGCATTATCATTTCCAATTGCAGATAAGAAAGTTGAGAATCAGAGAGGCTAAGTAGCTTGTCCATTTCAGTGGTCGAATTGGGATTCAAATCCAAGTTTTCTTATGTCAAAGTCTGTAGTTTTATCTGCTACATTATACTGTCAACATAAACTTGACTAGTCAAACTCCTGGGTAGTTTTAAATTTCAGAGTGGATCATCTTTCTTTGATTTCTGTTTCAAAGATCCAGACCACAGAATGGTAATCCATTTGAATATGGATTCTTCAACTAGGTATTTAAATCTTACCTATTGGTTTCTATTGTGAAGGGAGAGATTTACAAAGTAAACTGAAATTTTCCTGAACTCAGGTAGATAATGGGGAAAAATATGTACAGAAAGTTTCAAGAATCTGCATTCTTTAAAACCAAGCTTCATCGGCTTTCTGTTTATGGAAGTGATTAATGCCCAGCAGTAAGGGACTACAGTGTGAAAGAGCTCACTAGGGAGCTTTTTCAAACATCATAGGTTCTTTAGGATGTTTGTCTCCAAACACAGAGACTTATCCAAAAGCCTAGTGCCTTCTTCAAATTGTGGGATAATGATTCTATGATGTGTTTATCCTGAATGATGTATCAAGTTAAAACTGATACAATAATATTACATAGAAATCTTTAAATAATTCAGGTTTCAAGGGGAGACCAAAGAACTGGATGTCTTGCTTTGTTTCATGATATGATTAGGTGAGGGTCTCCTCCCTTTTATTTGCAGTTACATTGTAGTGGGGTAATAGGGCTTGCCATGCATTTTGTATGTTGATCATCTCAGCTTCATTTGGCCCAGTATTTAAGTTAACCAAATACAAAGAATGTTATGGCATCCTTAACCAAGTTTCTTTTTTAGTAAGTCTGGGCAAGTTTACAAAAATGTTAATATACATGTATCTTTTTTATTCAGTAAACATTTCTTGACTACCTGCTCTTCAACACTAGTGACCAACTTCATTCCGCATTAGCTCCTTATACCCATGACCACTTGCTGGGCTTTGTTATCATTTTGAATTGACCACCTTAGAAATCTTGAACTCCCAGGAGGTCTGAGTAGGTCAGAATTTATAATAAAAACCTGTGAACATCAGCTTTGTCTTCTAAGCAGAAATCATACTAGTGCTTTATACTTTACAGACTGAGTCCATATCATCGTATTTGATCCTTATGACAAATAATTCTATTACCTCATTTATTCTTACACATTTTCCATTTGGTCAAAACTGATTCATTGTACTAGAAAAGATATGAGGGTTCTTATTTCCATTTACAGAGAATGGAGGCAAAGTGACATGAGGGGCCATGCTAGGTGACATTTTGAGGCAATTTTGAAATTCACATCTTATCTTTTAGTTCAAGGGTACTGAGCCACTAAAAATACTCAGAAACAATATAGTTACTACATTTTATTGAGTGCTTACATTGTACCAGCTAAGGTATAAATGTTTTATATATATTATCTTCGTACAATATGAGGTAGATACTATTACCATCCTCAGTTTTACATGTGAGGAAACTGAGGAGGTAAATAATTTGCTCAAGGTCACAGAGCCAGTAAGTGGCAGAGCCCAGATTCAAACATAGGTCTGTAACTCTAACTCAGACATAGTTTGTGGAGCCCTTTCTCTTAAACACTGTGTTCTCTTGATCATAGAAAATTATGAGAAAAGAAAAATCCTTGCATTTTAGCTCAGGAAGTGACCTTTGATTCTTTCAGGCATTACCTTTGTAGTGAGGCCCTACATAATAATGTAGTGACCTTGACAAGGTCACTTAGCTATGCAAGGGCAGAGCCAAGTCTAGGCCAGTACACTGGATTCCCAGACCAGTACTCATCTGGACAGCATTTCCTCTCCTGTGGAATCATTGACTTGATGACAGAGATGCCTCTAAGACATTTTTGCATTTTGACAAGTTTGCCTCATTCACAGGAGGGAGAATAGCAGAGGGCATTATTAGGTTCACAAGTGACCTTCTTGAGGTTAGTTCAACCTTAGGTATATAGTCTATGAAGAACATTCCTTAGCCAGCAAGTTGTTCTTTTTCATTCTCTTTCTTGTGTTTAAAGCAAACTGAATTATCTGATGTCTTACAGCCTCTTCATTTTGTTTATTCAGTTTTTCATGCATGTGCTGTGACTAGTTAGAAAGGCTACAAGGTTATTTTTATATTTTCCCACAGAGACTCAAAGTACCACATAACATAATGTAAGTCGATTAATTGTAAGAGGAAATGGATTTAAAATATTTTGGCCAAAGAGTGTCTTTAGGAGGGGCCAGTGTAGTTGCTGACATTGGGAGTCAGACTTGGGAAAGAATTCTGTCTTTGCAGTGAGTTTACCCTCTGTGTAAACTGGGGGTCAGATTCTTAACCTGTTTGAGCTTTAGTTTCTTCCTGTTGTAAAGTAATGGTAATGATACTTATAGAGTAATTATAAAAAATGAATACAATAGCATATGGTAGGTGCTTGTCATTAAGTGGACCCTTCTTTTTAGAACAGCATAAAGTCTCTCTGGACAGCCAGTTAGAATTCTCTGATGAGGAGGCCTTTTGTAATTGTCTACTCTGTTGTGTACAGTAAGATTTTCTCTTGACATGAAAGACATAACCTAATTTAGTTGTGCTGTTGTGGTTCAGGAGTTTGTTTTAGGGTTAGATTGTCTCCCAATCATCTTTATTAATCCAGGTGCTGAGTAGTAATGATTCTGATGAGATGAAAACTTTTTCATATTTGCCAAGTATCAATGATTATTGAAATCAGAATAACCAGAAAGAAAGAAATTTGCATTATAACCGTTAAATTTTTTTTTTTTAATTGTAGAAGTTGTCAGTTGAAGTTGGGACTGTCAGTTTGGTTTATGGTCATCTGGGTAACATTTTCTTTGAAATAAGCAGAAAGGCAACATTGTTGGAATAGTTCAGGGAAAAAATCTCTTTGCCTGCAGAAATTTTTGCAAGGTTGCAGTATTTGTCACACTTCTCCGTGTTTTAGCAGTGTTGTACCTGATAGCAGTGAGGCAACATCTGCACTCATTTTCAGCATGGGAGTTGTATTTTCTATTTTGGTTTAAGTTTTTTTGTTTGCAGACAGATTACTTCTAAATTCAGTGTTCGTTCTTTTATACAGCGAAAACTTTCCAATGGGTAAACTTCAGGGGCAGTTTAGAGAAAAGGACTAGTCTAACCTTTGCATTTGAATGTGTCC